TTTAAAGCACCTTGGCTTTGTTCTGAATGCACTTTGTTGTAGTTATCCTACAGAGAAAAGAAAATGCACTTGACTTGGAATTAATGTACTGTATGCATTCAGAAGTGCTGAATAAATGTTTTATGGACCCATAATAGTGATTATTATTTAAGTTAAGTTAAGTTAAGTTAAGTTAAGTTAAGTTAAGTTAAGTTAAGTTAAGTTTTTGCCATAATCATTTATTTTTCCATAATCAGGTAGCTGAACAACATTGGTAAAAAATGTATACATTATATACATATATATATATATTTCCATTAATCATTTTCGGCCTTTTGGCATTCGGTTTTCGGCCAACTGTTTCCTATTTTCGGTATCGGTTTCGGCCAAGAATTTCCCATTCGGTGCACCCCTAGTGAACACATCTTGTATCCTGTCTGTGCTAAATAAAGTGACATCAAATTAAAATGGGTAAAAGAGTACGCTTGGAAATGAAGAGATACTTGTTGTCCGATGCATATGCATTGATGTGTATAAATGGCTGATGTACCATTCATCACTCCAATCACTTTGTTCTTTAAAAAAGCAAACAAGTTGAACTTACAATAAAACTAAAGATTCCCTCGTTTCAAAGCTTCACGGTTTTATTTTCGGCCCATGATAGAACAATAAGGTGTAATATTTGAGATGGAGAACAGAGCATGACCACAGACAGACCAGAATGCCTTGACTAAATGTATTGCACATTTATCTTAAAAAATCAGCAGCTAATGTGCTGTCACATTGCAGAAGAAGAGGACACAACAAAATGACGTCATTGAAAGGGCGTCATTTGGACCTCAAAATGTGAAAATGTGATTAAAATATACTTAACAATCAATATGAAAAATGATGACAGCTACTGAAACTGAGGTCATTTACATTTTTAAATCAGACATCAGATTAAAAACGTAAACATAGACTAAGGGGTGAAGTGTGCCATATCCATAAAAATGAACAGAGGTGGATTGTCTTTCGTCTCATCACCTCTCACAATGGTTGGCATGCTGTGCGCACACACATTGGCCACCAAGTCGGTTATGTTTTGTCGGGGGGGAGAGAGCACTCCACGGTCCATTTAGCAACAAAGTCTTCAGTGCATCATTTAAAAACTGCACTGTTAAATGAGGCTCAGACTGCCTTTGTTTCTCGTATTGCCTAAGGGCAAACATTTTGGCACAGAGGATGCATCAGCACAACGTCCAACTATGTGGTCTCTGTCCCTGCCTCTGAAGCCCATTGGTCTGTCTCTGTGACTTTTATTTTCTTAAATGTCTGTCTCAGTTTTTTCCCTGTTGGTCTTTTTGATATCCCTAAGCCCTTTCTATTCATGACCAACTGCTGAAATCTTCTGTTCTTTGAAACCATAGATGGCAAAAAGTGAGCCTTTGCTGATTCACGACCTCTCTGAAAGTTACGTTAAGTCACACAAACAACCGTATCTATTACACAATCTCTCTTAAACACACACACACACACACAACACAGACACATTTGTTCCCAAACATGTCAATCTCGCTCCAATCATGCATGAAAACCGACACACAGGTATGCACAGGGAATCTGGCCATACATCTCAGATCTGACATGTATCATATAGCAGCTAAACAGCATCTCCTAGAGGACATTTCTGAAACTGGAAACCTGCAACTGTCAAGATTATTTTATACCGAAAAGGTTTTAGGGGGAAAACAGCTAGGGAAAAAAATTACATGACAAAGTCAGAGGGCAGAACATGAGGAAGAAAAAAAAAGAGAGGGGAAAAGCAGCAAAGCAGCAAAGTTCAGTAGACAGAGTTCATGTTTTATTTTCTCAACTTATTGACCTGAAGTCACCTTGTCTTCAGGTGTGCAAAGCTACCGCATCAAGGGTAGTGACAATAAAAGCCATAGAGGAATGGTTAATGACCACAAATGGCAAGAAATTTGATTCAGGTATTAGGTCGAGAAGGTGTTGAGAATAGACTTACATCCTGGAAAAGCCGCCGGTCCTGTGCCAGACGTTTGGACGCGAGGGTTTTGGTGACATGATAGAAGGTTAGCAGCGCTCTGTGCTGCTGCAGGCCGTCCTGACCCTTTATAGACTCCAGCAGAATAGGGATGAGCTCTGGCCATTGCCTGGGGCAGTCCAGACGGGCCACCTTGGCTATCAGCACCGCAATCTGAGTCGCTATCTGTTGGAAAAACAGAGCGAGAGAGAGCGAGAGAAAAATGACCAGAGGCAAAGCATAAACACAGCAGAAGGTGGTTTTAAATGAGTAGTTTGGACAAGGAAGACACTTTCAATTGATAGAGTATCCTATTTATACAGCGTAGAGTGCATCCTATCCTGTAATCATCCCCTGTTAATGATGGAATCAGTCACACAGAATATGTTGTTTTTCAAAGTGCTTTAGAAGAGTTAGATGTTTATAGCGTTTACTGATAGAACATGTTTGAATTGAGTATTTGAAAATCACCTTTAATAACCTATTTTATTATGTTTTATTGTTGACAAGAATAGTAGCAATAAAATCCAGTAAAATCAGCAGGCATAGTTTGAATATGTGGTGCTGGATGGTAACAACCTATAAACAATAATTTGCCGTTTTAAGAAACACCGTTTAAACTAATGTAGCCTAACGTAGCACCCCTGCAATGATCATGCCTTTATAATGGGGCTTGATTTTGAAACATGTTGTGATTTACAGATAAGCTTCTCTAATATCTTGTCCAACCAATTTATATCAGTATGGGGGGACATAAAGATGATGGCCCTGACACCCTATAAATCAGTTAGCTTGGAAATGATATTGATAAAGGGATTGTTTAATAACAGTACTTTTAAATCTATTATATATCCAACTTTACTTTAATTGTTTTTACAGAAGCAGTTTTTCTCTTTTATTCTCAAATAATTGATGAAGCACCGATGGCATTGTATTCACTTTTTATCCTCTCATTCGACCCCCATTATTATTAACAGCACAACCCACAATCAGCAACAAGACAAAATAATGAGAATGAATTGCATTGTCAATAAAAAGCATGCTTCAATGCTTCAAACTCCTTAGCAATCTCATTAAAAGGAATGATAAATAATCTATATGCATGCACATTTAATTGTAATTGTCAATAAATCATTACGTTTGAAAGAGCTGGGTAAGTTCAAAACATTAGCCTGCATTATGGAACTTATAAATATAAACTTTCCACACGACAGTGAAACACCCACACTCGCATAAACAGTATAACCCCGATTGGTTGGAGGAGAGGCTGTAGCAGCTGAGACTTATGCACCTTCTTTGCTTGCGATATGGAGCCTATCAATCGTGATGTTGGAAGCTGTCCCTCAGGGATACACAAGCTATAGGAACCAGGATGAATGGCCGACATTCAGGGCCGCCTCTCGTGTCCCCTCGGACTGATGTATGACACACCGCTTGATTCTGAATTATTTGTTTGCTGCGCCATTGCACTGAGAACGATTGAAACAATGGCCAAACAACCAACTTTATGTCTACATATGCTCAATCAGTGTCTTTATCCATCCATTCGTACATTATTCTTTATTATATTGATATAACTTGTGTTTTTTGCATAAGCCAATTTAGATCATTTGCCATATTTAGCATATATGCATTTATAATAATTTAGAACAGATGACCAATGAGAGTTGTCACTAAAGATTAATAAGAGAAATTGAATAGGTTAGTGGCTGCTTCAATCGTGTTATTCAAGGCATGCACATTGTTTTATTGTGGCAAAAACTTTCCATCATCACAGAAACGGCCACGCTGTCACACTTAACCTAAGAATGGCATTCTGAGGGCAATTCTGACTGAGTTAGTGCAACATTTGCATTAAAGCCATCGTAAAATTTGTCAATGTAAATTGGGTGGGGTGAGAACATATTTCACTGCCCAGACACCGTACCATGGCACACCGCCATTAAAGAGCAGTTGGGATTGTAAGGAGGGTGATGTGTGACGATGCTATAATGCATTCCAAAACGGAACAAAGGCTTTAGGTAATAAGACTACATACACCTATTTTAGAGGTTGATCATGGTTCTTCTGGACACAGTTTACAATGGCGTGTGTTGGATAAAAAACATTATTTTTTTCCCTAATGAAAAATCTTACTTTTTAACATTTTAATTAAGTAAAAACAAAAATAAGAACTGCAAAAAATAAATTTCGTTTTCCCCGGCTGCCTGTGTTGCATTCTGTTTGTTTGGGAGGTACAGCTGGTCTGATCCGACTAAATCTAAATGCCATCAGCAAAATCATAATAGTCAGAAGGTGGTTGAAATACCAATGTATTGCATAAGCTGATGTGGCACCAACAAATTAAGCATACTACAGTTTTGGAATCACTGATGAAGTAAAACACAGAAAATAAAAAGGGGGATTGGACACAAAAAGTTGTATGAACCATTACTTTGTAAATTGTTTTTTTTTGTATAGTTAATGTTGTTTTAATCAGAATAAATCAAACTAAATTCCACCAACCTGATTGACAGGCTCATTGAAGTTTGTGATGAGGCCAGCACGCAATGACGTCTTCTCCTCTTCTGATAATGCACTGTAAACAATCCAGAAAGAACGAGGGAGAGTATTATTTGTATTAGTTAGGATAACACTCTCTGTTACCACCTCATTATCAGTGATATACCATTATAACAGTCATGCTACAGTTGGGTCAAGTTTACTAAATGGATTCAAGATTTTATTTAATAAGGATGCTAGAAAACATAAGCAAGAACCACGTTTTGAAACCTTCCACTGCAAGGTGAGAGTGCTAACTGCTGAGTCACAACTTCACTGATAATAGGGTGCCAGTCGCCGAATGCCGCTCGAACCCCAGAGAGATCAAAGAGACTACTTTGAATTGCGTCTCAAATTCTGGACACGCAAACCTCATACCTTAAGATGGGGAAGATATGATTATGACATCCATCTGCCAAGCTGTAATGGGATCAATTAAATCCCTTCATAAAACCTGATAGTGCAGGACCTGCCAGCTGCCTGATTTCATAAGAACGCTTTGAATAAACCCTGCTCTCCTCAAAATCCTATTGCCAAGTCTGCATCATGAGCCTGAGGTTTTGCAAACAGTAGAGGGGGATTGACAATCTGTAAAATAAAATGTTCCCCATAATTGAGTCTGTTCTGCCTCCGTCAAATGCTGCTGAAGCTAGAAGGAGTGGGAGAGTGTTTGATATGAGAAAGAGTGAGGTGAGGAATGAAATGCGCAGTGACCTCAGGCAGGAGAGAGGACATCTGGGTGGAAGACGCATTACTATGGGGGAGCGTGGGAATTAGTAAAAACAGACATGTATATTTTGGGAATTTGGAGAGGGAGGCAAGCTTAAGAGAAATATAGGATGAGAAATTAAATATATGTTAACATAAACTAGTGTGTGCCTGTTTTGTCAGTAAAATAAACTGCAACTTGTGTTACTCTTTGTTGTGGTTATTTTTAATACTACAATGTCAAATACAAATCTAGGCAAAACATAGCGGCTTCTTCTTTTTCATTAGTGGACCTATCATGCTATTTTTGAATAACATATTGTAGGACCATACCTATATAAGGCATATTTATACTTTTTATTTTTCAAAATACCAAACAGATCATGCATTTTACCCATTCCTCATTTCGCTCAATTTAACACTGCCTTTCATGCTCGGATTCAGTGAGAACAGCCCCATCTGGTGGCCTGAAATATGTACTACAGCGTCTCCAGCGCTTTCGAACGGCAATGTCTGTGGCTGTCTCCGCTTGATTGGTGGAGTTGGCCCAATAGCCGTAGCGCCACTTCTGTGACGACATAAAAGTGTTCAAATCTGGATCAGTCTGTATCAGATCCGTTGCAGCCCCTTTTTAAGAGATTTGGGTATGGAGGAAAATAGAGAGGGTTGTGTTTTCTGACACTTGGTGAGTTCCCTGGAACACCGGGGACACATATTCATGTATAAAAGACGTACAAAAGTGCATTTTGCATGATAGGTCCCCTTTAAGGGAACGATGACTCATATTATCCAGGGATGTTGCATTGATGAAATGACTCGTTCAATTGTACCTGGACTGGGAATGTTTTAAGACACCATAGCACATTGTGCAGATTCTTGCAGAAAGGGGTTTTACACTATTTCAGCACGTTTGATTCATTGTGGTATACTGTAGGTAATCGTATTGTGTAGGTATTTTAAAACCGTACAATACGTTATTGTAAGTCACAGTGTAAGCTTTGTGTAGAAACACCACATGGTCTTACATTGTATCCATCTGCTTGATGAATGGCAATGGGACAAAGGCAATGATCACCGAAATAACCCCTGAACAAAAGGCCTTGCACAGCACTTCAGCAATTCAGTTTAAAGAATTACTAAAAGAAGGGAAAACACCTTTGTAAGAGGAGAAAACTTTAGAAACAACGAAAAGAATAGCAATAACGTTAAGGTGGTCAAAGAGTGGCCATCGTGCTGAGGCAGAGCTGATTACCTCTGTCCAACTGCTGAATTTAAGAGCAATTGTAACAAAAGCCAGCCAGCCAGGTACCCAAAGACAGGCGATAGGCGATCTTCCATCAGACAAAATACAAAAGAGATATGAATAATCAGGATGAAAGGTAAAAAAAATAATGAGAATAAAGCTGTGAAAAGTGAAGGAGGCAGAACTGCAGACGTGAGCTATATTGATCGAATCAGAGAGTGAAGAAAAAACTGCAAAAACTACAAATCTGTGACAAAAAAAGATCTGAGGAAAATGACAAAGCCTCAAAAACAGGCAGAGAGATTAAGACTGGTGAATAGAGGCAGTGAGATTGAATGAGGAAAGGGAGAATAAAGAGGAGCAGTGGAAGAGAGAAGAAGAAGAAGAAGAAGAACCCTCTGATGGAGAGGAAGAGAGTAAGGCTGACAGTAATATGTCAACATGAGGGACAAGCAGGCACTTACTGAGGCGCTACTCTCCTCCAATATCTGTCGATGCCATTTTTGAAGTACAGCACAGCGAGCCACCTGACGTTCACATTCAGCATGTGGTTGTTGAAGATATTCTATGGAGAAAAGATAAACACGCACAAATGGGTAATACCAGGCAAGGACAGACTCAGTATAATACTGTGTGACAGCTCAGTCTATGCTAGACAAAACAATGTCTCGACACGATTTTTGCATTGATGTATTTAGGGATAAACATATAGAAAATAATACATGTTACTATGAATGGAGTTGGGCTCTATGCTCAGCTGGGCAGAACTGGGCCAATTCCTCTACTGAATGAACAGAGATAAAACTGAAACCCATCTCCTCATTTACACCTGGCTGAGACAGTTAACAAACACATTTCCTAAAAAATGTGTTTTTAATATTCCTTTAAGGATCAACATAAGCTGTGTGATTAATATACAACAAATGTTATGTGCTGTTTAGGGGAGGGAAAAAGACAGAACACTAAGCTTTGTTCAATTATTATATTTCTCTGACTTTAACATACTTCTTAAACACTGTAAAATACAACCAGTGTTTAAAACATCTTAATTAATACATTTAAATAAAACGATTCAATGGATATTTTAGTATTAGTACACAAATAAATTCTTAGCTGCCTGCCCTACAATACCTTCTTATTCCGTGTTCTCCAACCTCTCACTTGTGTTTCTGTGATAAGAGTTATTGTGCAGATTGGGAAAAACTCTCTTATGATTGTTTGAATTAAAGGTGGGGTAGGTACTTTTGGAAAAACCAGCTCGAGTGTGCTAGAATTTGAAAATACACAACCGGAACAAATCTGCCACTTCCTTACAGAGCCCCTCCTCCAACACACACGAACGTGCACATGACCAATGAGGGCACGAGATAAGTTTGTGCACAGATGGAAGGCTGACAGGCAGGTAGGGTATCCCTGTATGGATTTATTGTCAAAGCACTTCAGATATTCATTGCTATCGGGATGTTAAGAGCATTCCATGGAATATAACAAAAAGTGTATCTCGAGCTGGTTTCTCAAACTTACCTACCACACCTTAAAGTTACTTAAAAAAAACTAGTGCTACAGAAAAGAGCATATACCCAACGTTGTCCTGATTTCATGTACCATACACCACTCATTAAAGTTTTGTTAGTAGATTTATTCTACTCATTTGAGAGCACCCTCACCAGGAGGACGGAGTAGAAGCCTGGCTGCGTCTCCCACTGTCGGAGCTGCTCCTCCGCAGGCTTCAGCTCAGACGTGTCCTGACTGGTAGCTTGGGTTAAGGCCTGCAGCACCACTGAACTGGCACTGTCCATATCCATCGATGGATATCTGCAGGGGAATATGAGAGGCGGGGGGGGGGGGAGGAAGGAACAGACAAGAGAAGAGTTTCATTGTTTTTGTGTGAAGTTCATTCTGATTTGAAGAAGAACAACTTTTTTTTAAAGTTTAACCGTAGGGATAAACAGCAGAAGAACATTTCAAATGAAAGGCAGTCAAAACTAATCAACAAAGATTGTCAGTCTTTTTGTCTGGTTTTATCTTCTCACCCCCATGTTATTATATATCAAGCAGTATTAAAATCACACATAAATCTTTGGAATAAAGAAAAGAACAGAAGTCGACATAATAAGGATAACAAATCCTTTATCATTGAGGTCCTAGCTGTAAAAAAAGGATAACTGATGAGAACAAAAGAAAATCGATAATATCTTTTACAAAATACTGCTAACTTCTCTTCGTCAGCTTTCAGTGCGTTCCCAATTGTTTCAGAGAGTATCTGACAATAGTGAGAACTTTTATAACTACAAAAGAAAAACATTATTTCTGTCTGTCAAATAATCATTAAAGGATATAGCAATCAGGAGCTGAGAAGTAATCCAGACACTAGCTATGTTAAAAACACAGTTCTCTTTTCAACAGCCATATCATCTAAATAAGCGACGGTCATCTGTGAGACCAGTAGAGGTAATGCGGGACCGTCGAGTGAGTTATCCATCGGTGAACTTTCATTAAGAGTGTGGGTAAATATAGAGCAAGGCTGCCATCTGCAGCACAGAAACAAATGTCCAGCACCATGATCTATTGGGAGCTTCCAGAAATCCATGTGAATTAGTTTGGTCACTCCACAGAAATACAATAGCAGTCCTTTGGCCAAATATATGGCCTTCGAACAGGCACAGATTGTTTCAATAGGCAGAGTCTCTGAATTATTGATTCACAAACACATCGTGTAGATAGACTGTAAAATCGTGTTCAGTTTATAAAGTGTGAATGAAGCAAGAGAAGTACCAGCCTCTGTCTCTGGTGATATCAGAAGAGATACAAATTCACCTGCCAAAGATAATGCAAAAATGATTACATTCAATTCACATGTGTGCTAATATTTTGGTGGGATAGGCTGTCCCGGTTATACATTCTGGCATGTAACCATCAGATCCTGGTTTCAGAAACCTGGACAAGCATGTATTCAAGTTTCTAGGAACCCAAATATCATATTAGTTATTACATTATTCCAAAGACGACACATAGCCTAAATTTGTGTGATATCATGGTTAAGGAGATACAGTTGTTTTGGGTTACTTTATGTTTTTTATTTATTTGATGTAGTCAACAATAGTATCAGGCTATCTTGGCTCAATTGTTTAGTGTTTCAAGGGAGCAAATAACAATCAAGGTCCCAAAGGCATCCAGGAATTGAGCAAACCGAAGCAAGTAAACTTTGAAAACACTTATAAAGAGTGTTTTCCAAATAAAGCACATTATGTCACACCTTTCATTTCCACTACATACTGTGTTTTCATCAGTTCAGTAATGCGTGTACCCTGATCAAATATGTAAGAAATATTGCCTGCTTTATACATTTGTTAAAGCAATATACAACCTGTTAAACATTTAAAGTTGGCATTCTACTATACAAGGTACAACTAACACGTTATTGCTATTGCAATATTCTAGCTACATTTGTCTGAACTAACCTCTTAAGTCATCAATGTTTTGAGGCTGTTGTCAAATATTAGCTCAATATGGTGTTTTGCACATGCAATGCCCTCTAACACTAGCTAACCTAGTTGTCAGATGATGGCTGGGTGAAGAAGTAAGCTAGCGGCAGCAGAACTTCATCAGCTAGCTCATCAGGCTAAATGTTGATATCATTATCTACGAAGCGGCTAAGATTGATTTCAGCAAAGCCAATTCAACCTCTGTCGGGCCATATTACAATATAAGTGCAGCTATATGGGTCCACGGGTATATAGGCATACAAACGTTTAGAAAATGGTTTCCTCTGTATGACTGTAGTAAGTGTTTGCATGGATGTATTACGCATTTAAAATGACACAACCCCATATGAAAGGAAGCCTGTCTATCAAGTATCATATTTGGGTTTTGAAGCGCAGAGAGAACCAAAACAAGCTCAGTGGTAGGCTGTCAGAAGAAACCAGCAACTGTTCCAGTACATTTTCATTATTTTTGATTAATTTTTGACTTCATTAGACCCACCATGTTTCTTTACTGGCCCTCTCTGCGTGTCATCTACAATTTAAATAAAACAACCCCATGCAAGGTGCGACACTGAGTTTCCAAATGGTGCAAACACCAAAGCTAACTTTGCTAGCTGGCTTAACTTATTCAACAGAGAACCAAGGGCCCACAATGTCTGTGATGCTAAATAACGTCCTCAAACAAACGTCTCAAAATAGAAACATAAAACGAGACTTACCTTAAAGAATGACTGCAGAAAACAGAATCGGTGGTGTTGTTGTGGCTGCTAAAGCTCTGCCAATGGTAGTGTAATGGGAGATGGAAACACACGCTTGTAGGAATGGCGCGAGCAACACAGCAGGCGCGCAGTGATGACGCGTTAGGTTTGGCAGGCGTGCTTCCAAAATGTATTATGTTCACATATGGTCTTGAATAAATAAAGGAAGAAGAAAAAAAAATACAATACTCAAGAAGGGTTTTAATAGTAGCCTATTATGAACAAGGGTTGCAGGCATATCCCTTGCATTTGTGTCTTTGCACAGAACCAAAGTAGCCTACAGGTACAGTGAGCATGCATACTTAAGCAACATAATTCATAGAAGGGCAGGTAAAAGGGTATCAACGTTGAAGGCATTACAAAATAGTCAAGTGTTTTTAAGTGATTAAAAGAAAACAGCTGTGCAGGCAGGTGACCGTAGTGTGTGCTTCTTGTCAAATAGCCCAAAATCTGAAATTTGTATCATAGGGATTTTTTTTTAACTATTAGTTTTATTGGCAGCCTGCAATTCTCCATGCAACATTTCATCATTTTTTAAGGGAAATTTACATAGTATTTATGTGTGTGAGTTTAGAATTCTGTGGTGGGGGGGAGGAATGGGAGTGTCCTCCTGCTGATTTATTCTATCCATTCCGTCTTGCTTTATTTTAGGTAGATCACTCAGAGCAGACATCAACCTAGAGGCTTAAGCCAGAATTGTTTGTTGTGCAGGACAAGTATGGATTTAATGGAATTGTTTTTCATCACTCTTGGTGCTGCAGTAGTTGTCTGCTATGGAGTAAAACTGCTGCTTTTCAGTAGGATGCTTTTCCCAAAAATATGGTTTCCACTGTCACAGTCTTTTTTTACCTCTTTGGGAAAGTGGGCAGGTGAGCTGTTTGTATGTGCATGTTCTCTCATTTATGTTAGACCATAAGTCATATAGTGGATAATAAATGCTGGGACATAAGTTGTCAGTGACCCTTTTTAAAGGTATTATGTGGGCCAAAGAGTGTCTTTATTTGAGATACAGAGGTGAAAGACAGGGGAAAGGGCATTGCCTGGAAGTCACACTTTTAACTATACTTCGGTGATCAAGCTCAACATTTGTAATTGTGTAATTATTATGGTGTTATGAGTACATTGCTATGTGTGAAGTGCCCAAATAGGCCTGTGCATGCAAATTTAACTGTGGCTGTATAGCCGTAAAAGATAAGGAACAGTTTAAATTTTTCAGACTAGTGTATACCTTTCTCTGTTGCACAAGATTACACTTGTTTAATGCTCAAGCAGAGGCAAGTTCTGACTTTCCCTTCAACTGTTTTGTAATGTGAGAATACTCATGGTTCAACTGCTTGCAGCTGCTAACAGAAACAAGATCAATGTTTTTCATCCAACATATTGCTGCTTGAGTGACACATATGAAAGAACATTTTATTCTTGGCTTACTTGCCAAATGCTTACTGGCAATGTGGTTTTAGTTAAATAATAGTGATTGTATATTTATGAACTGTGAATAAGAAAATAACAAACACACCACACAATTTGAACAACAGTATAAACTGCCTGTATCATTTTTGTGATGGAAATGCATTAAGGGTAATATGACAGAAGGGATTTATTACGATAAGGAAAATATTAGTGCTTTTACTAGCTGTTGCAAGGAATCAAACTTGTAGGATTCCTACTAACTTGAGGACAGTGTCAGTGCATTTGAATTAAACCAAAAACATTCCTCTGCAGGTCCCAGGGTAGTCTCATTGAATTACAAAGCTCTCTTTAGAATCTTCTGAAGAGGTAATTCAGTCTCTCACAGTGCTTAAAAAAGCTCAATAAAAACACAGGCAATATGGGCTGATCTTACTTTCTCAAGCCTACTTTCATTCCATTCCAGCACAGAGGAATACAGACACCGGAACGGTATGTTCTAGGCTCTATACACGCTGCCTTCTTTATTCTTACTTGTCCTGACAATTTGAAATATATTTGCGTAATTGTGGATATCCAGATTGTAGCCAGTGCCCATCTTTTAACCTGAGTGTTCAATCCAATGTTTATATTTGAAAAACCTCCACCAGACAGAAAGCAGAGTCACAACAGAGAGCCAACAAAGTGATGAATGAAACCCATCCTGATGAGAAACTCATATTCACGACACAGATATGGTATTGCTTGTCCGTCCATGTGCATGGTCGGACGTAGCTGGGTACCATCTTTTCCACCTTTTTTCCATGCTTACTCTGATGTTTATATTTATCCTGATTAGTGACTCAGTCTTTAGTCAAGTTGATCATGTTTATCTACCATAGGGGCGTCCAAAAGGAAATGTCCTTGTTTTGTATTTGTTTTGTTGTCACTGGTGATCTCACTGGTGATCAGCATACAACATTGTAACTCTGGGAACAAGGAAACCCTTTTCTGGCACTGAGAAACTGTTTTCAATAGGGACTAGAATATGTATTTTATATCTGTGTGAAAAAAGATTATATATTTTTTAAAGATGGGCAATTAAAACTGTCCAGTTTATTATCACAGCACCTGAGATGCTGCACAGTAACACTTTTAACATGTTTTTAAGTAGTAGTATCAACAGTGGTTTGTGTGGTGAGAAGTGTTGTCATCCAACACTGTTGTCCTTTTGTAAGGACTGTGCACACATTTTTAAAGAGCATTGAGTTTATATTTTGAACTCAAAACATTTGCTTTTCCCCACAATGATTTATTATTACATCACAGTCCTGCAAAACAGTCTTTACCGTTTTAAAATAAGTAATGGTGCCATGCCCATTACTTCATGTCTGAAAAGAGTAAAAGAACCAATGATCTTTGTAATCAGGGTCAGGAGGTGATGGGAAAGAAGAACTCAGAAACAAACAGTTCCTCTTTGTTTAACGCAAAGATCTTATCAGAACTGAAGAACATGTTGTATTAGTACAACCTGTTAGAACAGGATGGGTTGGTAGTGTAAACAAACACAAATACAATCCTGGGACTTGTCTGCCAGCAGAGGAAGAGAGCGGGTGTAATGCAGCTCTGATTCACAGTGCACATGGCGTTAGGAATGGAAAGAATGGAAACTGCAGGAGAATATGATAACTAATACATTTATTTTACTAAACCCTGCATCCCTGTTTCAGTGGTGACTGGTGCTTCAGAGGGAATAGGAAGAGCATATGCATTTGCAGTAAGTGGTTCTTTAAATAGCCCTGCTTGTCTTTGCATATCATTTATTTATTGTAGTATAGGACACCAAAGTTAAACATAATAACTAAGAGAAAACAAACACACATCTTAACATTTTGTGGGTAGCGTTTTTTGTTTTTTACATACTTTTATTTTCAACACTTTGTAACAAAGGTTGTATCTATTTATTTCCTACCCACAACATTATGCAGTTTAAGATATGTACTATTTTATGCACATCTGCTCATTCTTTTCTGGCAACTGCACATTTTTCATGTCTCCAACCGCTCATCACTGCAACATTTCTTCCCTCAGCTGGCTGAGAAAGGGATGAACGTGGTAATCATGAGCAGAACTAAAATAACACTGGACCAGTTGGCTGAAGAAATAGGTACAAACTGTCTATAAATGCTTTTTTTGTTGTGACTGCTTTTAAAACTGTGATCAAATAAACAATGTATAATGTATGCTGACCCTACATGTTCTCCTTTTAGTTGATACCACAGGGCAGCGGGTGAAAGTCATTGTAACAGACTTCATGAAGGACAACGTCTTCAGTGAAATCGAGGATCAGATTAGGAGCCTCGACATTGGGGTTTTAGGTTGGAATATTTATTTTGTATAACTACATGTAGTGATTGTATGATTGAAACATTAACAGCTTCCAAATACACAAGAAATATAATATCTTCAGATTCCTTCCCTGTTTCAAAGCAGATGTTTTTTTTGTTCCCCAGTCAATAATGTTGGAATGCTGCCCAGCTTCATCCCCTGCAAATTCCTTGAGACTGCACAGCTGGACCAGGTCAACAAATATATTTAACCTTAAGTGATACACACAAAAATTAATTGCATGTATCCTTTAGCTCTTAATGTGTATAATGCATTACTTTCATCATAAAACAAGACAAAGTGTTTTGTCAATTTATGCCGCAGTATTCCTGATAAATGTCTTTGACAGGTAATAAGTAATGTAACGTTTTTTTAAGAAGCCCTTTTTAAAAAATATATAACTTTATCTTTTTCACCCCAGTATTCTCTTTCCCTTCATTATCAACACCACTTATACATGTTTATTCACGTTTTCAGACAATCACAACAGTGATAAACTGCAATGTGAAAACCATGGCAAAGGTAGGAGTGTAATTGCAATTTTTCAGCAAAATAACTCTAAGTTACAATGTAATGTTTACCGTTTAGTGACTGGTGTGTAGTGTCAAAAACTCTTTACTGGGTACAAAAAAAAAGATCCAATATTTTGTGAGTACAAGTGATGGATTCTTTGTTTTCATCCAAATGAACTTACCCTTACATTGTCCCATATTTGATTTATTCTTTTTTTCCTCAGATGTGCAAAATAATCCTTCCAGGCATGGAGAGCAGGTTTCCTACCTTTATTTTTCTCCTTTAGATGTGATGTGATAAAATCCTAACATGCATTATTTTCATTGAGTTTTGGTAAAAATGCAAGACCAAATCGTTTTTGTCTGCCTCTACAGGGGTAAGGGGGTCATTTTGAATATTTCGTCTGGAGTTGCCTCCATTCCTTTCCCCCTGTACACCCTATATGCAGCATCTAAGGTAAGAACAGTCTTGCATCTGAACCTCTAGTATCTCTATCTCACGTCGTTTGATCACTCAGCTGTAATTTATTTTTTTATAATTTATAGGTGTTTGTGGAGAGATTCTCTCAAGGTCTTCAAGCAGAATACAAAGATAAAGGGATTATTATACAGGTACTTTGATAGAGACTCACCCTCAATGTATTTATGTTTAATCAAAAGAAGAAGGAGTGCGTTGTTGTCAACATTAAAGTGGTTTTAGAAATATTGTAACAGCTTCCTCTTTCTTTATATGCTGTCTCTATTTTTCTCAGGCAGTGGCTCCATTTGGGGTCTCCACTCGAATGACAGCATACCAACAAACCAACGTAGTGACTCTGTCACCAGAAGAGTTTGTAAAAAGCTCCCTGCAGTACCTCCGAGCTGGAGACAAAACACACGGAAGTGTCTGTCACATAGTTCTGGTAAGACTTAGCGACTAGCTTCTAGCTTGCCATCTGATAATGCCAAATAATGCCAAATAGAGACTGATTATCCCCGTGATTATGTGTGTGTGTGTGTGTGTGTGTGTGTGTGTGTGTGTGTGTGTGTGTGTGTGTGTGTGTGTGTGTGTGTGTGTGTGTGTGTGTGTGTGCGTGCGTGCGTGCGTGCGTGCGTGCGTGCGTGTGTGTGCGTGTTTGTGTGTGCATACAGGGCTGGTTACTCCAGTCTATTCCTCTCAAAGTGTTCTATGCAGAGTCTATGCTATGCAGCCTACAGGACTATGTGAAGAGGAAAGCAGCACTGAAGGCATCCATCTGTGCATCAACTGCAACTTGTGAAAATGTTAAAAATAAATAACCACATATTCCTTCCTTTAACCATGATATTTCTGTAAATTGATTATAATTACGGTACTATTGACAAACCTATGTTTTCTGTTTTTTAAACAGTGGGGACAGTTATAACTTGTGAACGTCTTATTATTAATATTATTGGTTACTTTACAGCAGTACTTTTTTGTAACATTGTCGGTAAGCCATCCTTTCATTTCATTTCATTTCATTTCAAACCTTTATTTAATCAGATGGTCTGAGGACCAGATTGGTCCTCATGGAATCTTCTTCATTAATGTCAATAGTTCTTCAGTTTCTAAGGTTTGAAGGTATTTAGGCATCTGCTCTTTAATCCACATATACATCTATTGATATTACACTCTTACAGTAGAAAATAATAAACTACATTATATAAGTTACATTTGATTTATATTAGTTTAATGGAATTTACTCTAATGATGCCGATTCAGTGTTTTTTAAGATAACTGTGTAGGATCAAGTCATAAGTTTGCAGAATGCAATCGAATGAATAATTCCACACACACACACACACACACACACACACACACACACACACACACACACACACACACAAAAAAAAGACACACCTGTAACTGTCATTAGCATCCTCCTTGCCCCTTTAAGATGGGGAAAAACTTTGGATCCGATGAGTACACCACCAGGCGTCTCTGCCCTAGTGCCAGTAATTCTGATATTCACAAAACAAGCAAAACCAGCTGTGGGTGGAAGAACACTGACAAGCTTCTACCAGGTTCCTCGAAATGAGAACACATTGCATAAAAACAACATTACATATAATTACATAAAATACAAGGCATGGCTTTGACGGGCAGACGCAGATATGCAACCGTTTGAATATCTCCTACCAGGATGTCTGACCTGAAGAGTCCCTTATAATGGGGTGACCATGCTGTTTAGACAGCCTTGATGAATGATCCTCCCCATGAGAGATAGTGCAGGGAATAGGAAAAGTGTCTTGACAAAGATCGAGAGACAGGGGGGAGCTCAGAGTGACCCCGAGTTTAGATGATCCATGCCTATTCTGTCTTTTCAAAAGGAAGATAATTACTAACCTTCACATGAGTATAGTCTTTATCGCATGTGATGCTTTTTGAGAGAGCAGAGCACTATTCACAACAACAACAAATCTAAAGATAAGAATTACAGACAAGGGTGTGTGTGTGTGTGTGCGTGCGTGCGTGCGTGCGTGCGTGCGTGCGTGTGTCGGTGATTTCACTAGCAAAGGACAATTGTTTAAAAAAACAAATATATTTTGGGATAATGGAGTTGTAAACTATTTTAGTAGACATTTCTTAGTAGGGGATTCTAGTTCTTGCTATCCCTTTGGTGTATTGGATGTGTGTTGGTTTTATTTCCTTTTTTTGAATTTATATGTATAAATGGTCAATCTTTAAAGGTCACCTATTATGCAAATCCACGTTTTCATGTATTTTATACATAAACATGTGTCCCCTCTGTGTAAAGAGATTCTGAAACTTTCAGGAAAAAAGATTCGCTCCCTTTTTGTCCTGATCCATTTATATAAAAACCTGTCTGAAAATGAGCTGATCAGATTTTGGCCACTTTATGATGTCATAACATTGTTTTGGCTTGTGTAACCATTAGCCAATCACCAACCAAGGTAACCCCCCCCCCTTATTACCTGAATATCCTCCTAGAGCACCATTGTGTTCTTTTTAACCAAACATCTCTCAGAGGGGCGTGGGGAGTGGCTCCTTATTTTCATCTAAAGTAACAGACAGAGAATCAGCACTTTTGGAACAGGGCTGAAACAGAGGGGATTATGGGATGCTACACTTATCTGTTTGGTGTTTGGAGCCAAACACTTCAGAGACATGTTTTGTATATATCTGAGACCTATAATATATTGATGAAAAACAGTATATTAGGTGACCTTTAAATACACTTGTGTGGTGATAATGTAGTCCCTTAACATTCAGTTTCATTTGTTTTCATCTTTAAGTGTTTTAAGATTGGCAACATAATTTTGTTATGTAATTTTAAGCTCAGTCTGACAGATCCCCAAATATTGTGTTTTATCTTCCAACACCATGGTGTTTATAAAAAGTTAAAATCAAAATAAAGTATGTGAGTTGCATGTGAAATGTCTCATTGCGTTACTGGTTACTGTGACCATCGCTTTCTTCATTTTATATATAAAAAAATCCTGATTTGAGTAATGTCTTTAGAATTACAGCATGTACAACGTGCCTGAGAGAATGAAATGGGAAAGACAAAGTGTTATTAAACTTCAGTACCTCAACGTTTAATGGTACAGATTGGTGCTTAACTCCTGTTCTGCTTAGATCACTGACATGATCACAGTACCACTGAAACTTCACCACCATGAGGTTTATAACAACTGATATAGTTAATCATTTAACCTTATTACCCATTCAATTGTCTCTCCTGTCTTTGAAAGTCTTAGACTACCAACAAACCAAGGTTTGTTTATTAAATTAAATGATGGAAGTTTTTATAATATTGCTTTTAGAAATGACTTAAGGCATAGCATCCTCGAATCAAAGTAAGTCTTAGAGGGGTTACCAGCTAACAGAGGAAGACTGGCGAGTCTTCTTTGGAAAAAATCGTAAACATTTGTTAATACAATTATCTGGGGGGGGTAGTACATAAATAAGAAAACCAACACTTAAGACATTTGCTATATCTTATGTCTTCAGTCTACTATTTTTTGTATCAATGAAACAAACTATTCTTAAGCCTTCATGTTACATATTCTACAAAATGGTTTAAAAAGCTACAACAGTCTGAAGTGTAGTTTATTTCATGAAAAATTCCTGTGATCATGTAGCATTCAATATAGCCAGTAGAGGGCACCAAATATAAAGGTTTCAGTGCCTCCTGATGGCTGTCATATGGATACACAGAAACACACACAAAAAACACACAAAAACAAACACACACACACACACACACACACACACACACACACACACACACACACACACACACACACACACACACACACAAACACACACACAACACACACACACACACACACACACACACACACACACAAACACACACACACAAAGCTGAGGACAGGTCAGCAGATGGGATGCCTCTTGTTATCAATTATGTCTCCAGCAAAACAGAAAAGTTACTTTTAGGATAAATACACTGCCTATGCTTTTCAAAAGTCGTTGGAAATAAGTAAAATTATTCTACATAAAAGGTGGAAAAAATAACCAATCTAGTATACACATACAGTACGTTAAAAACAAGCATGAGTGCCTTGCTGCCAAAACATATCTTTTTGAATCTGTCTAATTTATTAGTTTAAATTGTTCTGAAAACAATCTCCACCACTGGGATTTTCCAGGAGGTGTGTTACCTTTAATGTTCCTGTAGTTGCATCTCCTTAAAAGTCGCAGTCTGAGCAGCGTGTCACCTGCAGCAGAAAGTTGTTTACCACCGGTTGCTTATCAGCAGGGACTTTCCTCCCCTGGGGTGATCTGCAATTCAGTGAAGCATACACATTTATGATATAATTTTCAAAGTGTTTCTAACATCAAATGAGGCCCTCAGAGTCGTTAAGTGATTATTACTACTTTCATAATCACAGGGTGTAGGTCAGGCTATAGTTGTATTCCATTAGAGAGCATCCAGTGGGAGAGCTTCTCTTCTTCCCTTGCAGAATAAATGGTTTTACCATGAATGGGATCATATTTTAGCACATGTATCAGGTCAAACTGGCTTCAACACGTCTAACGCCTCTAGCAGATGAGAGATTTATCAAAAAATGGGTCAAAGGAAAAGCATTGTTTTCATTGCACTGTGTTACCATTTCTTATGTGGGTGGTCAGGGCTCCGAGGATAGTCTTTGTAGGAGGAGATTGTGTGCGTGTGTGTGCGTGTGTGTTCCTGTGTTCGTGCGTGCGTGTGGTGTGAGCAGGAAAAAGAAAAAGAGAGAGATGCTGCCTTTGAGGATGCTCCCTGTGTGACTCCTCTCTCCTCCTTGGACACTGCTTGCTTGTTGTTTCAGTAAAAAGAAGGGTCCAGAGATGGTCCAAGACAAGCACACAGCCACTGCAGCCCACCCAGGAGCCAAGGTCAGGACCACTAACCTTCAGACACTTACACACACTCACACACTAAACCCACCTCTCGGATAACTTTCCAGGTTGACCGGAGTTTTAGTTTGATTCTGGAACTCATTCATCAGAATATTTAAAAAAAAATTTAATAGGGTAATTGTTGAATCAAGAAAGCCATTTACCCACAACTTGGACTAATGCTGAACTCCCCCAAAAATATATTTGAATAAATTATCGGAAAGCAATACATCTCTAGGTAATTACATACATTATGCACTTTTGACATAATTCAACACATTCTCACTCCCAACTCACTAAAGTGGCGTTATGTCAGGATCCCTTGGCGTCACTATCAAACGCAGTGGGGGGCCCCTTTAGCGTAAATTAACTACTATCAACTATCAGGGAGTCCCATTGCCTTGCATAGAGCTCCCTGAACGTTGGTAATAGACGAGTTGGGATTGCGGAGAAATGCTCTCCGCCGACCCATTCTCACAGCTTTTATCAACCTTTTTCTTACTCAATATCAAGCCACACTTATTGTTTTTACTTCTTTATTTCAATTGTATAATGTCTGACTTTTGTTACCGTCAGTTAGGGGGAGAGTAGGGGCTCAGAATACTGAAATCTGTATTGTTTCAGTTTTTTCCTTCTAATTTTGTATTCTTTTCTAAACCACACACTGTTCTTTACTCAACAATAAGACATAATTATCCTTGTGTTTATTTATTTGTTTGATTGTATAATTTTTGACTTTTGGAGTCAGTCAGGACCGAGGGTCGGAGCAGCTCATAGTAGTTGCTTTAGAGAATTGTACACCCGGAAGTAAGTATTCTCTCTGCTTTGCTTGACAAACCCCGTGATTAGTCCTCTCAAGCTCTGTGATTGTTGGAGTGGCAGTGCGCCAAGGTTACGCCGAGCGTCAAACGGCTCTTTGAAATGGAATGAAACCATGGCACACTATCCAGAACTGGATTTGAACGTTTCCACCACCCCCCAGAACTACACATGCTGGCTATTGTGTTTCGCGACATGTTCTATTTCATCCCTACTGACCGCCAGAGGCGGTTCTTTAAGCACTGGATATGTCCATCGCGCATTCGCAGGTCGAGTACCAATACCACCAAAGTCACCAGTGAGTCAGTGACCCCACGTGACACCGGACTTATCTGCCGGTGTCGTCAGAGGATCAGTTCCTTTTTATCTTCTCGCTGCGCGAGTACCGTGGCTACATGTTGTAGCCTACAGCGTTCGGCTTGAACTAATTATCTGCATACAGCTGCCTGCGTGCAGCTTTCACTCGGAGCCGCGGGTTGCTTACTCGTCCTCCAGAGGCTGTGGCCGGCTGCGCAGAACTTCGACGGACAGGTTTGTGTTGACTTTGTTGGTGTCCCCGCTCCCGCTCCCAGCATAAGTTGTCCTGATTGCTGTCTTGTTTGTTATTTGGCTTAATATACCCACATGATAGCTAAGGTCAGAAGAGCTTTA